CAATGCACCTTTGGATGTTCTCCAGGTGAAGACCTGGGAAGTAATAGGACTGGTTTGCATGGTAACACGATCAGGGAATTTCTATGTATGCAGCAAAGGAAGAGTGACAGTTTAGTTGCAGTCTTTCATTGTACAGGGGCCATGTTTAAACCATATTGTGTGTAACCAGGAGCAAACTCTGCAATGAAACCGGGCTTCACATTCAGTAAACAATCTGTAGTGTAGACAGGCCCATAAAAACAAAAGCTTTCTATAAGGAAACCAGTTCAGCCTAAAATATATATTTGTTCTAGCTACAAAAGCTCTTGAGGAAGGTGGGGGGACACAAGCAGCCAAGAAAGCCCTGATATATGACACCAGCAGACTCTTAGCAGCAGCATATAACTAGCTCAATTTTATGGTAAAACTTTCGCCCAGGTGCTGGATCCAGCACAGATAATGTACTTGTGGCCTATGTGGTATATTCAAGTTCTAAGCACTTTTTAAAAGTTTGTAGTCCTTATGTTTTCAGTTTTGCAGACATCTCTCCCAGTGTGAACTGAATGAAAACCATTCTACACAGGTATTATCTACACTAAGTAAATATTGCAAATGTATTGCATCACTGTTTAACACCAGTTCAGTAGTGTTGTCAACAGTGATAGCCCAAGTGATAACTGGACACCTGCTGATGACAATGTTGCTTAAACTGGCTCTGAGCAGATTACATGACAAAGTGCTTAAAACACCAATGGCATCCAGCAGCTGGTTTGGGCTAAGGCTCCCAACATTGCTAATACTGATGGATGTGAATCAGTGATGATAATGGTGGGAAACTTCTGCAAAAACTTCCCTAGTGTAGACAGTGCTACAGGCACCTCCAGTATCCCTGCTGATGTTCCTCCTACTGTAGAGGTAAAAAGCAACAACATATTGACATTTAAAATGACGGTGGGCAGTTTCACTGTTGCTATTCAACAGCTTTTGTGCCACTGACTGTTGGATATTGCTGCAATGTGGGAAAGACAGGAGCAACAGCAGGGGTGGTCCTGATGATGTTTGTGGGAAGAGGAACTAAAACCATGCAGAGTTAGTAGAGGGGTGTAATCCTACTGCCAACTATCCTTGCAGGAGTCTAGGGGGTATGGGGCTAGGGTAGAGTAGCTGGCACACCCCACTCAGCAGTCAGTGGGATCTAGGGGGAGGGGTAGAGTAGCAAATATCCTCTGCCCTTTCAGCAGCCAGAAGGCTCAGGAAGGGAGAGAAGAGTCAGCAAGTGACTACTTCTTTCTCATAGTTAAGGGGTATGGAGCTTCACATTTCTCAAACACTCACTAGCTAGTCCCCACAAACAGGATCAAAGCACAGCACCCCATTAGAAATTCCTGTACCACCTCCCACTTCCCAGAGGGGGGGGAGGGGGCTGGGCTTATCACCAAATACTATCTCTGGACCTTGCTAGTGGGGTCCCCCAACCCCTTCGAGCTTGTGGGTTTAATCCTTGAGCTAGTAGTGTTTGGTGGATTTTTCAATCCAAGATAGTCTGTTTGGTTCTTTGGATTGAGTGTCAGAGCAAGAGTCAGCTTCATGTATGGAGTTCCACATAGTTTTGCAAGTGTAAGTTCTCAGTGCACTGAGTGAAATGTGTTTAACTGTCTGGAAGAGGGACCTATGGTCTCACAACTGGTGAAAGCCCGTGTGGAGCATCTGCGTCCATTACTGATGACTGTTAATAGTTGTTAGCTGTCAATCCTTATATATGCTGTCATTTGGCTTTAAAAGTTTTCATGTTAACAACGTCACTAATTATGTTGTCTGTAACCTCCCATTTCGGGGGAAAATCATTGAGAAGGTAGTGCTGATTCATCTCCCATAGCATTTGTATTCCTCCACTTCTTGGGTCCCTATCCGACCATTTTATGCCTGTGCATGGCAAAAAAGCCTGTGCAAATCTCATTGGTTGACCTCCTTTAGGCAAGGGTCAGAGATTAAGTGTCCATGCTGATGTTAATCAGATATATCAGCTGCCTCCAGTATGGTTGTTTGTTTGTGTGCAATGGGCAATTTCTCTTAGGCTACATCTCCACTTGAAGCTGCGGGAGAGATTCCCAGTTCATGTAGACATACCCACACTAGTTCTCCATGGAACTAGCACGTTAAAAATAGTAGGATAGCTGGGGTAGCATGGGCAGTGGCGAGTGACGGCACGGGGAGGCTTCCCTGAACATGTACTCATGTGGGTTTGTACTTGGGGTGGCTAGCTTGTGCTGTCACTTGTCACTGCCTGTGCTACCCTGGTTATGCTGCTATTTATAGCATGCCAGCTTGAAGACAGCTAGCATGAGTGTGTCTGCGCGTGCTGGGAATCACACCCCTGGTTCCAATAGTAGATGTAACCTTTAGCAGGATCTTGCATGGAGAATCACACAGGAGTCCTTTCTATCTTCCCCTTCTGTTCATTGTTTAGAGGCGATAGTGAGCTGTTATGGCTTGCAATTTCCTCCATGTAAAAATGATACAGCTGCATCTTTTTAATCAAATCTGGATTGGCCCTTTTCTTATTTTCCAAATACCTGGCCATGATCAGGACCTGGACAAAAGTGGGCTGGTTGCCTTAGGTTCTAGCTGGGTGGGTCGGAGACACAAGGAAGCATCTTAAGAAAATGGCAGGAGCTTTGTCTGTATTCTCAGCTTAACATGTATAATTGCCTGTTGTCATAGTGGTTTTCAGTATACTTCTACAAGTCCAGCACAATGGGGGCCTGACTGGAACTTCTGGGCTCTGCTGTAATACAAATGACATCAGGGAATTTCTGGATCTAAAATGGTTAGTGGTTTCCCAGGTAGCAGCACTGACTGATTGTACCCCATGCCTGTTAACAGTCTGCAGTTTTTATAATTAGTCCTTCCATGCGTGCAGGGGACTGGACTAAATGACCTCTCAAGGTCCCTTCCAGTTCTACGATTCTATGATAATGTAACTTTCATAGGTTTATCCTTGGAAAATCTTTCTGTACCTTTGGTTACTCAGACTGACTGCTTTTCTTGCACTAAAGCATAGTAAGGCTAGTTGAAACTGAAATAAGTATGTCTGTACAGTATTTTGCACTAGTTTAACTAGATGTTTTAAAAATCACACTAAGTTAAACTGTTGCAACTCTCCCTGCAGACAATTAGGAATTGCTTTAAGGCTAAACTGAAATAAGCCTTTCTTAAACCAAAATAAATATGTCCATACAGGAGTTTACATTAATTTAACTAAAACCGATTTAAGTTAAAACGGTGCAACTTTCTTGTGTAGACGAGTCCTAGCTGGGCCGAAGACGCAGCTATTTGAGAGACAGGCTGTCTCCTTCTAACCAATTGCAGAAGTAACAAGAGCGTGCAGTACTCCCCTGTTGGTTTTGTGAAGTTGGTAATGTCAATCTCAGTTAAATATCCCTGCCGTGAGTTTAACCCTGCTGACTGCAAGATCCCATCTGCTCACTTTTAAGGGAGAGTTGTAACGTGACCTCTTCAATTTAGCCTTTTCTTTATTGCAGGTTTTTAGCTGGGTTTATCATTTGTTGATGGGTGGCTTAGGGCAGGATCAAATTTGTTACCTTTGTAGAAGAACTTGTTTTTAATTATGTACATGTAAGTGGTGCCAGATATCATGACAGTAAGTGCTTGGATATCTAGAACTTCCTAACTGCGATCCCTGCTTACTCCTGAGTAGTTAACACAGACTTCAATAGACTGAGGGTTTTCTCCCTTTTTAACTTTAACTTTGACATGTAAGTAATTTATTTTTGTTCTAATTTTGGCAAATTTCTTAAACTTATACATGATTTTTTTAAATTTAAATGGATAGCTGGACCAAGCAGAAACCTGACATTTCCTTAGAGCCCCCTCCAGTGTCATTAGAAATGTAGGGGAAGACATAATAGCTCCCATTGCACATTTCTTTTGAGACACCTGGGGATCCTCCAAGAAGCCTGAGACGACCTCCATCCCACCTAGGAAAATATCTTGGTGTGTCTTTCAGATCCCACTTTCTGCAATACTATAAACCCTATAAAATGACTTATTTACTTCGAGTACCTCTGATTCTTCTCCAACAAGCCTGTAACAACCTCACCCAATTTCCCTCAACTCACAATTCCATGATATCTTTCTTGTCACCCTCCATCTAGTTAGTGTTTCCTTAACCCTGCTACCAGTCTTTCCTGTACCCCTTCCCCAGTGCCACAGTCTCAGGGAGTACTTTTCAAAGAACATAGGGTGTTTAGTAAGCACCCTAGTATCTGGAAGGAGGGCACACTTTCCTCAGGGACCATGATGCTCAGTTGATTGTGAGAACACAAGTTAATTTGCTTGCAGCTTTTTTTATTTTAAAGAAGGAGATTAACTACAAAATGCTACTTCATTACAATGTTAGGGATGAACATTTAAATGTGCAAAAGTTAGGAAATTCAAAATGTAAGGCTCCATAACAACATGTACTCTGCCATTTTATGTACATGTAACTCGAGTCAGGAAAGCACGTAGCACATGCTTACATGCTATCATTAATAGGAATGGATTTAAGTCCTATTTACTTCAATGGGATTTAAGCACATGCTTAAGTCATGGCCTAATAGAGGAACTTTCCTGAATCAGGGCAATAACCTGGTTCTCCAGTGCATTTTATACTTTGTTCTTTTAAACGTAGGTCCCAATTCTGTGTTCTCTGATTTTGATAAAATTATTCCAAACTTATGGTGGTGTCAGCAAGAGCAAAACCAAACCCATCTTACCATTGCTAGTCATTTCAGGGTTTGACAGCTAAGTTTTTAAAGCTGCATGTAGAAAAATAAATTGTCTTATTCAAGTATTATATGGAATGGTGTCTGAGCCCAGTAAAACTTCATGTGTTAAAATGGGTGTTATAACCAAGTCAAGTAGTTATTCCATTGGCACAGCCATTCTTTTTATAATAACTTTTTAATGTTTATAAAAGCTGGAAGTAAGTGCATTTATATTCTGCTGTCTTGTTACAGCCTTACTTACATGTGCAGAGCAGGAGCAATCCAGACAGATGATAACTGCATTGTTTTAAAGGTAAGCTGGTTACATGATTTGTTTGAAATTTAAGCAACCGTTAAACCAGAGTTTTATCACACTATGTGTTTGTCACAATTTTATTTGTGTATGTCTGTCATAGTGTTACAAAAGCACTATTGATTCTATGGGGGAGCATTTCAAAGGCTCAAAGTGCAGTTAGTTGTCCAGCTCCCTTTAAAAATTAGGTGCTTAACTCCCATTTATACCTTTGAAAGTCTCCCTATGTAGCAATATTTAATATTTAATAGTGGTGACATTTTAATTCTGTTTATTAAGCTAGATACAGTAAGTCTGAATCCAGAAAAAAAGTTTGATACAAAATCCATTTTATATTTGTCAAGTTGCAGAAACTTAAAAATTAAAAGTTGCACTGCAGTATTGGACAATCATTTGGAAAGAACATGCAAAACGATTTCATCAGGCTGCTGTCTGAATGCAAGTGAAAACCTGTCATTCGTGTTTTTTTGTTTTAAGAGATAGTAGTCAACAGATGGTACTCTCAGTGCTTGCTTCAGTTTATATTTTTTAATCTGAAAAAGCATCTCTGCTAATAATAGTTTCAAAAAATATTTTTCTTAAGGATCTGTGTGGACACTTTTGTGTTCATCATTGTTTCTTATATGGTGGCTGGCAAGTGAAATTTTTGAGACTTTTATCATGGTGTGTTAGGTACGATTTGCATATCCAGCCTTCTGTCAGAAAATTGCCGTTTTAGAGCACCCCTGTAGGAATTACACAACTTTCTGGTTAGTTATAGAACCATGGCTAACACTGAAATCTAGAACGATCATGTATCAACTAGAGATCTGAACATTCTAGAGCTGAGGAATACAAAGAATGTGCCCTCTTAAGCATTCCTCACTTCCTCATTGTATGCTTGACAATGCAGTTAAAGAACCAGGGCTTTCCCTTGTTCAGTCTGTTAATTGTTTGAATAGTAGTAGAATTTGGTAGGTTTAAGAGCTGTCTGTCCAGTGAGACTTCTGTATCCATGATCCCAGATAATGGGAGACAGTTTAGGCTTAAGAAATACACAATCTAGATGTGTGGTTGAGCAGCATTCACAGCATCTCTTTGACGTGTGTGACCTTTTTGCCCCTAGCTGGGAGTGGGAGAAAACTCCTGCTGTGGATAAGGCCTTAGCAAATAAAGAGTAGAACCCCAACTCCCATCAGAGTTGTCAGCAGCAACACAAGATCCTCTCCCAAACACTTCAGGTCTCAGATTTGAAGTCTTTTCATAGAAGACTTAACAGTGAAATCCTTGCTGATCTTAAACACAAAAAAGAAGCTTACAAGAAGTGGAAGATTGGTCAGGGAGGAGTATAAAAATAGTGCTCAAGCATGCAGGAGTGAAATCAGGAAGGCCAAATCACATTTGGAGTTGCAGCTAGCAAGAGATGTTAAGAGTAACAAGAAGGGTTTCTTCGGGTATGTTAGCAACAAGAAGAAAGTCAAGGAAAGTGGGTGGGTCCCTTATTGAATGAGGGAGGCAACCTGGTGACAGAGAATGTGGAAAAAGCTAATGTACTCAGTGCTTTTTTTGCCTCTGTCTTCACAAACAAGGTCAGCTCTCAGACTGCTGCACTGGGCAGCACAGCATGGGGAGGAGATGACCAGCTCTTTGTGGAGGAAGAAGTGATTCAGGACTATTTAGAAAAGCTGGATGAGCACAAGTCCATGGGGACGGATGCGCTGCATCCTAGAGTGCTAAAGGAGTTGACGGATGTGATTGCAGAGCCATTGGCCATTATCTTTGAAAACTCATGGCAATCGGGGGAGGTCCTGGATGACTGGAAAAAGGCTAATGTAGTGCCCATCTTTAAAAAAGGGAAGGAGGAGGATCCAGGGAACTACAGGCCAGTCAGCCTCACCTCAGTCCCTGGAACAATCATGGAGCAGGTCCTCAAGGAATCAATCCTGAAGCACTTAGAGGAGAGGAAAGTGATCAGGAACAGTCAGCATGGATTCACCACGGGCAAGTCATGCCTGACTAACCTAATTGCCTTCTATGACGAGATAACTGGGGTCCTGTGGATGAGGGGAAAGCAGTGGATGAAAGTATTCCTTGACTTTAGCAAAGCTTTTGATACCGTCTCCCACAGTATTCTTACTGGCAAGTTAAAGAAGTATGGGCTGGATGAATGGACTATAAGATGGATAGAAAGCTGGCTAGATCATCAGGTTCAAGGGGTAGTGATCAATGGCTCCATGGCTCCGGTATCACGCGGAGATATCAAGCCGGTATCAGGGATGGCCACCTGCTCTCTCTCGCCGGCTGAGTCTGAAGCCGCAGCCTCCCTGAGCCGTGCCCCTGGGCGTTCCCTCCCCACCAGATTAGGGTCCTGCACCTTCCCCTAGGCATAGGAAGGAGGGTCTCGGGAAGCCCTCATCAGCCGGCTGACCACTCCCAGATGGGACAGACACTGGTGCCTGCGCTGCATTTGCCAGGCTGCTTCCCTCAGAGACAGGGATCAGTTCATTCGAGCGATCTCCCTCCTCCTGCTGGGCAATGAGCTGTTCTTTGGTGAGCCTCCCACTGCACAGCCCCCTCTGCTTGCACAGCTCCACCAGATTGCTCTTAAACCGCTTGGCATACATCTTCCTGCTGGCCACTCACAGGCCTGGGTGCTCATTACTCCCCAGTTTCCAAGGAGAACCCCTAGTGTGCCAGCCCTTCTCAAGGTCACCACCTCCCTTGCGATCCCCCGGGGGACCCTGTTACTGCAAAAGTCCTTCTCACTGGTCACACACTCCCAGGGGTGAATCGCCCCCTGAAACAGTCTCTCTCTGACTCTTCAGCACACCTGGTCCCCGTCAATCCCCCTTCGTTTTACTGCTGCCCAGTCACTTACTGCAGGAAGCGCCGTCCACAGGGTGCAGTAGATCCCGCCGCTGCCACCAGTTGTCACGGAGTGTGGGGGGACACCAGGCCCTGCACCCTCGGCTTCCTGCGATTCACCATGACTCTCAGCCAGCCAGTAAAGCAGAAGGTTTATTTAGACGACAGGAACACAGTCCAAGACAAGTCTTGCAGGCACAGACAACAGGATCCCCCACCAGTTAGGTTCATCTTGGGGTCCCAGGGCACCACAGCCCCCTTGGGAGGTCAGGGCCCTGTCTGTCTCCCAGACATTCCACCAGCCAGCTCCTGAAACTCTCTCCCCAGCGTCCCCTCCCACAGCCTTTGTTCAGTTTCCCGGTCAAAGGTATGACCTGGCCTCTAACCCCTTCTTGGGTTCTCATGTTACATGCTCAGGTATTCTCCCTCACGGCCAGTCTCCCATCCCCCAATGCAGACTTTCCTAGCCAACCTCCCCTGTCTTCCCAGCCAACACTCCCCACTCAGCATTCAAATACCACATTAAGAACAGTCCCAGTTCATCACACCTTGCTTCAGGTGGTCTCTGGTCTTCTTGCAGATTTTCTTTACTAGATCTTCTGACTTGTCTGAGGCAGCTTTGCTCCACAAGTTGACTGTGAAGCAGGCACTCATTTATCACTTGAATAGGAGCAGGATTTTCTGGAAAACCTCCATATTATTGGATTTGGAGGAAGGGTGCAAAGGCTGACCAAATAGATCCACCTTTGTATTCAGATCTGTTGTTTGCAGACAGGCTTTTAGTTCCAAGTGGCCTTTAGCGCCCTGTCCCACTACAGCTACAGCAGATCCTATGGCAAGAGTGAGCATAATAGATGGGATCCAGAGCTAAAGATTTCCAGAGTGACCATATGAAACTCATTGTACGTTTTTACCCAACATATTCTCAATAACAAGCCTAGATCAGATGCCCATATTGAGACAAGTATCTCACAATCCCTCTACTGTGGCGGATTGCTGCATGCCTGATCCCCAATGATTCTTTTGTGGCAATGTCACTAGTGGAAAACTAGATTACTTACTAGTAATTGGAGTTCTAATAATATATGGTCTCCACAGACCTATACTCCCTCACACTCCTTTCCTGCTACATCAGGCCCCCTGTGTTTCCAGTCCATGGGACATTAAATAAATGAGGAGAGGCCAAATGCCTCTTTCTAATCTTTGTCTCACTGCTCATCTTCATGAGGGATAACCCATGGACATCTCTTGAGGCTTTCTGCTTTCAGCCATTCTCAGGTCTCACAGCTTGATATGCAGATTCCAGGAGTTGGACTACATGAAGGCAATATTTTTCTAGCACTCCAGTTATTGCTAAGGAACTCAGCTTTTTTATTTACACCATGAGTATGAGACATGTTCTTGTTTGTATTTTTGTTTTGGAATCACTCTATTCCTACTTCCAGAAGCTGCTTCTTGTGGCAATACTGAATTGGGAATAGTAGAATCAAAGTGGGATACTTGATGTGCTCATTTTTACCTTGGTACCTAGAAGCCTCTTCCATATCAGTGCTGGTGAGTTCTGGGGACAAATAACAGGGTTCTTTTCTACAGCACAAGTAAAGCTTTGCAAGTAAAGACTATTAAGTGGACATTTGAACTTCCATACAGAACATTTTGATTGTGGGCCCTTTCGGGACATGATGTTTGCAAAGAGTATTATGACCAAAAAAGATGGCAGGAGAGAACCCTATAGTGCAGTGACGAGTGCTAAGAAGAGCCTATAATTAAATAAGTTGAACTTAATTTGTGTGTATATTCCCACAACCATTTGAACCTTTTTTTCTTTAAGAAACTTTGGTGAGAAAACTTGTTCTAGACATCAAACTGAAATGGAATCTATAAAGACTTACAAATTATCTTCTCTGAAACTAAAGTTGAATTCTGTACCCTCCAGACACTGCCAAGTTTGGTTCGGATGTGTAGTAAGGAAAGATTGTTGGAGGAACGAGTAGAAGGAGCCGAAACACTTGCCTATCTAATTGAAACAGATGTTGAGCTCCAGAGAATCGCCAGTATTACGGACCATCTTATTGCAATGCTTTCTGACTACTTCAAGTATCCCAGTTCAGTCAGTGCAATCACCGATATCAAAAGGGTATGTGTTTTTCTCTGTCAGTTCAGAACTTCTCAGAGTACATTAAAGAGATTTTGAAACTGCAAATGTGTGTCTTAAGTACTCAGAACTTTAATTAAAATTGTCTTTCAATTGTTGCACTGCTGTATTAATGCCTGATCCTACTCCTCTTGAAATCAGTGGGAGTTGGATCAGGCCCTCAATGTTTTTGGCTCTTTAGGCACAAGATCTTTCTTTTGTTGTATGACTCTCCCTCCTCCCACACTGAGGAGGAACATTCCAGGCAAATAACACTGTAGGAGCAATGAGCAGGCAAAGGCCTGTTAGTCAAGCACTCTGCACAAACACCTACTCCACCACCTTCTAGACAGCTCTTTAGCCTCCTTTGCAATGGGATCATGGAGTTGCAGACTCAGTCTCCCTCTCTTGCTTACTCTCTCTAACTCCCCTCCTCTCATTGGGGAAGGGAGAACATAAGAAAGGAATGGTGATCCCAGAGATGGAAAGTATTCTTGGCCTTCCCCCACCCCTTCTTCCACTGATTTGGAATGTACTCCAAAAAGACAAAGGTCCTCTAATCCCCTTTGGTTCTGGAATAGCCCAGGAAATCACAATTGGCAGATTTAGTTCTCAAACTCCTATAATATGGGGCTGCTCCTGCTTACCCATGTTTACAAAATGCTCTGAGAGCCACAGATGAAAAAATACCACATAAGTACAAAGAATTGTGAGCAAATTTTCAGTTGAATAAATAAGACAAAAAAGAGGTTCAGTAACTGGCTGGGAAGCATTAAACATTGGCTAGAGAATCAAAAAACCAACATTCCAGACCTGAGTCTGACACTGTGTTTTAGCACTTTTTATGAATGTCCAGAGTAAATGTCAGCAGCATTGCACATGTATGTCCAACTCAGCCATGTGGTGAGTGTATCTTGTGAAATGGATAATATCTTGTAAATTGTAGGTGGAATGAGGCAGGGCTCTGCAGGATAAATTGTTCTATTTGAAAAATTGTATATAATCATGAAGTAATGTACTGTACTGTAATGTGGATGCACTGAGGCAGAGTTAAGCTTACTCAGACAAACTTACCTTTCGCATTTCCTGACTTTTGAATGTTTTACCCTGCAACCTCAAAATTCCCTTGACAGTGTTTTTCATGTTGAATTAAATAGATACCATTGCTTCATCTGTTGGAGCCTTTCGGCCAAAGTTCTAAGAGCAGTTTTGGTCCCTTGATACCATCCCTTTTTATTGGGGGATGTTTATCTAGATCCTAGGGCAGCTTAAAGACTAACAGATTTATTTGGGCATAAGCTTTCATGGGTAAAAACCCACTTCTTCAGATGCATGCAGTGAAAATTACAGAAATAGGCATAAATATATATTGGCACATGAAGAGAAGGGAGTTACCTTACAAGTGGAGAACCAATGTTGAAGGCCAATTCAATTGGGGTAGATGTGGTCCATTCCCAGTAATTGATGAGGAGGTGACTGTAAGGTAAGGTAACTCCCTTCTCTTCATGTGCCAATATATATTTATGCCTGTTTCTGTAATTTTCACTCCATGCATCTGAAAAAGTGGGTTTTTTACCCACAAAAGCTTATGCCCAAATAAATCTTAGTCTTTAAGGTGCCACCAGACTCCTCATTGTTTTTGTGGATACAGACTAACACAGCTATCCCTCTGATATCTAGATCCTAGTAAATCTAGTTGTTTTCCCCCAATCTGACCATGTAACTCTTTCTGTGCGATGGGCATGGCGAAAGGAGGACATTTTGTTCTGGCTTGTAGAGGAAGAAGAGAGTGGGACTCATTTTGTCTGGGAAAACGTAACTAATCTCATCCTGTATTTTGAGAGGTTGCATACATATGTTGCTTGGTTATTACTGTTTATCTGTATAGGCTACAATTCAGCAAAGCACTCACATGTGTGCTTAACTTTAATTATTAACTTCAATGTGACATAAACACATACTTAAAGTTAATCTGCAGGTTCAGTGGTGATCCTGCCTGTTTGTGTGTAATGCAATCAAAACCCAAGTAAACAGGCACTAATCTATAACAATTAAGAAAATACCATGTGCAAGTTTAAATGCTCTCTCATAAAGTATCTGACTTTGATTTACCTTTTTTCAATAGCTTGACCATGATTTAAAGCATGCTCACGAACTGCGCCAGGCTGCGTTCAAGCTGTATGCTTCACTTGGAGCAAATGATGAAGACATCCGGAAGAAGGTGAGTCTGGGAGAGGGTCCTTTGGTGTTGGCAGCCGTCATGCAGGGAGAGACATCAACCTGGAAGTCCTGGGTGGAGTGCATTATCACTGATTGAATGAGATAAAGCAGAGAGAATAAAAGCATAAGTGAAGAATGAATAGAATGCAAACTATCAAACCGTAATGGCTAAATATGACTACATAAATTAAGGGAAACTCAACATGTTTATTGACCACTTCTCGGAGACACAAAAGGGACAATTTCAGGCCATTGTCAAAGAGGGCCAGTTAGCAGCCAGAACAGTGCTGCAAACCACACTGGACACCGCAGACACAGCGGCCCACTTGGTCTTGACGGCAGTGGTAATGAGGCGGGCATCCTGGTTACACCTCTCCAGATTGCCCAAGGAAGTGCAGATGACACTCAAGGATCTCCAGTTCGAAGGGCCCAAACCCTTCACCAGTAAGACTGATGCATCACTCCACACCAGGGATAGGCAACCTACACTCATCAGTTTATATCATACCTTGCACAGCTGGCAGTATTTTCTCCAATTCCTCACCTTTGGCCCATTCCTCACCTCACCAAAATGACAGCGGACCCTTCATCCCAACGTAAGGATCCTCAGACTCCAGGCTTGGCTGTTACTTGGTTCCAAGACTTAGAGAGCAAATGCTCTGAGGCGATGAAAAAGATGTTACTACATAGCATGAAATCGACCATTCGTCGTACTTGCCTGCGAAAATGGAAATGATTCCAAATTTGGTGCGATTCCAAACAAGTGGACCCAACATTTTCCTCAGTCCCTTCGATTCTAGGCTGCATTGTAGGTCTGGACTCTCTCTTCTTAGTTCACTTAAAGTATATTTAGTGGCCATAACAGCCTTCCACCATCCAGTGGACCGGTGCTCGGTATTTGCCCATCCAATGACATATAGATTCTCACATGTCAGACCATCCACCCCAACCTAGGACCTCAATCTAGTTCTGAGAACATTGACTATGGCTTCTTGCTCTGTTATACCTGTCCATGAAGAGAGCATTTCTAGTGGCCATTATCTCAGCACGAAGGATAGGGGAAATAGTGGGGTTGATGGCACATCTGCTGTTCACGGTTTTCTTTGAAGACCGTCACCTTGAGGCCACACCCCAAGTTCCTCTCCACCCCCGTAGCCTCCTCCTTTCATGTGAATCAGCTAATCCACCTTCCCATTTTTTCCCCAAAACTACATTCATAGAATCATAGAATATCAGGGTTGGAAGGGACCTCAGGAGGTCATGTAGCCCAACCCCCTGCTCAAAGCAGGAGCAATCCCCAACTAAATCATCCCAGCCAGGGCTTTGTCAAACCTGACCTTAAAAACCTCTAAGGAAGAAGATTCCACCACCTCCCAACCTAAGCCTCCCCCACTGCAACTTGAGACCATTACTCCTTTTCTGTCATCTGGTACCACTGAGAATAGTCTAGATCCATCCTCTTTTGAACCTCCTTTCAGGTAGTTGAAAGCAACTATCAAATCCCCCCTCATTCTTCTCTTCTGCAGACTAAATCCCAGTTCCCTCAGTCTCGCCTCATAAGTCATGTGCTCCAACCCCTAATAATTTTTGTTGCCCTCTGCTGGATTCTTTCCAATTTTTCCACATCCTTCTTGTAGTGTGGGGCCCAAAACTGGACACAGTACTCCAGATGAGGCCTCACCAATGTCGAGTAGAGGGGAATGATCACGTCCTTCAATCTGCTGGCAATGCCCCTACTTATACAGCCCAAAATGCCGTTAGCCTTCTTGGCAACAAGGGCACACTGTCAACTCATATCCAGCTTCTCGTCCACTGTAACCCCAGGTCCTTTTCTGCAGAACTGCTGCCTAGCCATTCAGTCCCTAGTCTGTAGCAGTGCATGGGATTCTTCCGTCCTAAGTGCAGGACTCTGCATTTGTCCTTGTTGAACCTGATCAGATTTCTTTTGGCCCAATCCTCTAATTTGTCTAGGTCCTTCTGTATCCTATCCCTACCCTCCAGCATATCTACCACTCCTCCCAGTTTAGTGTCCTCTGCAAACTTACTGAGGGTGCAATCCACGCTATCCTCCAGATCATTGATGAAGATATTGAACAAAACCAGCCCCAGGACCGACCCTTGGGGCACTCCGCTTCATACCGGCTGCCAACTAGACATGGAGCCATTGGTCACTACCCCTTGAACCCGACAATCTAGCCAGCTTTCTATCCATCTTATAGTCCATTCATCCAGCCCATACTTCTTTAACTTGCCGGCAAGAATACTGTGTGGGAGACGGTATCAAAAGCTTTGCTAAAGTTAAGGAATAACACGTCCACTGCTTTCCCCTCATCCGCAGGACCCCAGTTATCTCGTCATAGAAGGCAATTAGGTTAGTCAGGCATGACTTGCCCATGGTGAATCCATGCTGACTGTTCCTGATCACTTTCCTCTTCTCTAAGTGCTTCAGGATTGATTCCTTGAGGTCCTGCTCCATGATTGTTCCAGGGACTGAGGTGAGGCTGACTGGTCTGTAGTTCCCTGGATCCTCCTCCTTCCCTTTTTTAAAGATGGCCACTACATTAGCCTTTTTCCAGTCATCCAGGACCTCCCCCGATCGCCATGAGTTTTCAAAGATAATGGCCAATGACTCTGCAATCACATCCGCCAACTCCTTTAGCACCCTCGGATGCAGCGCATCCGTCCCCATGGACTTGTGCACGTCCAGCTTTTCTAAATAGTCCCGAACCACTTCTTTCTCCACAGAGGGCTGGTCTTCTCCTTCCCATGCTATGCTGTCCAGTGCAGTAGTCTGGGAGCTGACCTTGTTTGTGAAGACAGAGGCAAAAAAAGCATTGAGTACATTAGCTTTTTCCACATCCTCTGTCACTAGGTTGCCTCCCTCATTCAGTAACGGGCCCACACTTTCCTTGACTTCCTTTTTGTTGCTAACATACCTGAAGAAACCCTTTTTGTTACTCTTAACATCTCTTGCTAGCTGCAACTCCAAGTGTGATTTGTCCTTCCTGATTTCACTCCTGCATGCCTGAGCACTATTTTTATACTCCTCCCTGGTCATTTGTCCAATCTTCCACTTGTAAGTTTCTTTTTTTGTGTTTTAAGATCAGCAAGGATTTCACTGTTAACCCAAGCTGGTCACCTGCCATATTTACTGGTCTTTCTACACATCGGGATGGTTTGTTCCTGCAACCTCAATAACGATTCTTTAAAATATAGCCAGCTCTCCTGGTCTCCTTTGCCCCTCATGGGATCCTGCCCATCAGTTCCCTGAGGGAGTCGGTCTGCTTTTCTAAAGTCCAAGGTCCATATTCTGCTGCTCTCCTTTCTTCCTTGTGTCAGGATCCTGAAATCGACCATGTCATGGTCTCTGCCTCCCAGGTTCCCATCCACTTTTGCTTCCCCTACTAATTCTTCCCGGCTTGTGAGCAGCAGGTCAAGAAGAACTCTCCCCCTACACTTTACACTGGTTCCTCCAGCACTTGCACCAGGAAATTGTCCCCTACACTTTCCAAAAACTTGTCTGTGCACCGCTGTATTGCTCTCCCAGCAGATATCAGGGTGGTTGAAGTCTCCCATGAGAACCAGGGCCTGTGATCTAGTAACTTCTGTTAGTTGTCAGAAGAAAGCCTCGTCCACCTCTGGTGGTTTGTAGCAGACATCACCCTTATTGCTCACACTTCTAAACTTAATCCAGAGACTCTCAGGTTTTTCTGCAGTTTCATACTGGAGCTCTGAGCAGTCGTACTGGTCTCTTACATACAATGCAACTCCCCCACCTTTTCTGCCCTGCCTGTCCTTCCTGAACAGTTTATATCCAGGACAGTACTCCAGACATGTGAGTTATCCCACCAAGTCTCTGTTATTCCAATCACATCATAGTTCCGTGACTGTGCCAGGACTTCCAGTTCTCCCTGCTTGTTTCCCAGGCTTCTTGCATTTGTGTATTGACACTTAAGATAATTCGCTGATCGTCCCGCTTTCTTAGTATGAGACAGGAGTCCTCCCCTCTCGGGCTCTCCTGCTCTTGCTTCCTCCCGGTATCCCATTTCCCCACTTACCTCAGGGCTTTGGCCTCATTCCCCTGGTGAACCTAGTTTAAAGCCCTCTTCACTAGGTTAGCCAGCCTGCTTGCAAAGATGCTCCTTCCCTCTCTTCGTTAGGTTGAGCCCATGTCTGCCTAGCACTCCTCCTCCTTGGAACACCATCCCATGGTCAAAGAATCCAAAGCCTTCTCTCCGACACCACCTGTGTAGCCATTCGTTGACTTCCACAGTTTGACGGTCTCTATCTGGGCCTTTTCCTTGCACAGGAAGGATGGACGAGCACACCACTTGCGCCTCACATTCCTTTATCCTTCTTCCCAGAGCCACGTAGTCTACAGTGATCTGCTCAAGGTCATTCTTGGCAGTATCATTGGTGCCAACGTAGAGAAGTAGGAAGGGGTAGCGATCCGAGGACTTGATGAGTCTCAGCAGTCTCTCCGTCACATCGTGAATCGTAGCTCCTGGCAAGCAGCAGACCTCTCGGTTTTCCCGGTCAGAGTGGCAGATAGATGACTCAGTCCCTCTGAGGAGGGAGTCCACAACCACCACCACCCGCCTCTTTGTCTTCGGAGTGGTGGTCATGGAATCCCCATCCCTAGGACAGTGCATCTCATGCTTTCCAATCGGAGGAGTCTCCTTCTGCTCCCTTCCCTCAGATGTATCATCTAGTCCACTCTCTGCATTAGTATCTGTGGAGAGAACATGAAAACGGTTTCTCACCTGTATCTGCATTGTTGGTACATGGATGCTCCTCTTTCTTCTTCTGGAGGTCACATGCTGCCAACAGGGAGGCGATACTACATATGCTGGATGTTAGGAGACCCCTAGCATTTTATTTAGCCAGGACTAAGGACTTTAGGAAGTCTCCTAAACTCTTCCTTTAATTTGCGGAAAGATTCAAGGGTTCTGCAATATCAACTCAAAGACTCTCCAAATGGGTCTCTAGTTGCATTAACCA